GCAGCAGCAGCAGCAGCACAAGCAGCAACAGCAGCAGCAGAATGAGAGGGGCATTTAACAGGAATGGATGGGGGATTGGAGTGCAGGCTTTTGGAGGTGATTGACAAAAGCTTGACAGGAGCTTCAAACTTCTTGGACCTGACCAAAATAAATGGAGATGAAGCTCTCAAGTGCAGTGGTGTGTACCATTGAGCTACAGCTGCCCTGTGGTGACTTACAGAAGCTGATAGGCTGTTCAGTTGGCATGTCGGCATAGGGTGACGAGTCCTGATCTATTTAGGGAGAGCAGAACTGCAGCTACGTCAATAGAGAGAGGGCAACTGCCGCTGCAGGTTGTGGGAAAAAAGGCTCACTGTGAAGATCCGGCGGCGATCGAAGAGCAGTCTTCAAGATGATGAGGTCTGATCCAACAGTGATTGGATACCTGCAGCTAGTAATTGACGTGGAGACGCCAAAACTGGGCCCGAAGTGGAACAGAGCATATTATTGTCTGGCAAACAGAAAATCACACACCCAGAAAACAAGGCACTTTCCGATCCACTGCGAAGGGGAAGTAAAAGGCTAGCATCCCACGCGTGAAGAAAAGACCGGTGATGGCGGTAAAAGTCCTTTTCTAGCAGACTCTAACCTGGTGAAAAAGCACTGTTGACGGCGTCATCCCTGGGATCGTGTTCGCTTCAATGATGATCACCTGCAAGAAAGTAACAAAGTAACCAGTCAAAGTCAACCCTCCTAAGATTGTAACAATGTTTATGTTATTTAGACATGACATTATCAAGTACTTATTTATAAGAATGGGAAGAAGAAGAACATTGCGGACCAATCACCTCCGTGCTCTCCAAGCAGATGCTTTCGATGGTAAGCATGAGAACTGGGACATAGAAAAAGTGGGCAGCTATGATTTGGCACAGAGAAAAAGTGGGCAGCTGTGACATAATTTATCTTTTCTTGCTCTAACAGTGGGGCCCAACAATGTACCATGTGTACCTTTGTTCATCGGGACGGAAAGATAGCTAGTGACAAAGAAAAAGTTGAAAAACACAGTAAATTGCTGGACCCGCACAGGCCCGGCCACCCGGCCAGGTAGCCGGGCCAGTGCGACTTGGACCCGCTTGCCTGGGTCACCCGAACGAGTGAAAAAAATAGTAAAAACTTCCCCCCCTTGGTCATGGGGCATTTTTGCGCCCTCCGAGAGGGCCCAAATCCGGTCTTTTTTTTTTTTTTGGTCCATCATCACGTCAGTTTTGGRGGGTTGGRGGGGGGGGDGGGGAGGGGGGGAGTAAGGGCCTGAAAGGGGCTTTAAAGGGGTTGAAACTGGAAAGGCCGTGTCTTTGAGATGATTTTCCTTGCATTATTTTATTTTTATTTCAAATTCTGTGAAGAATGTGGAAGTGACCCTCAGCCAAAAGTTGTTTGGTTTGATATTTTGCACAACATACTTTTTTTTCAATTTTTTTCTTATTCTTTTTTCTTTTGGGTGGGATATTGGCCGGGACCCCGCCCGGCCCAGTTGCCCGGCCGGGCGTCCCGGGCAGGTCCCGTGCCAGCTTTGGGGGCCCGGGCGGCACAGCTGGTAGCCCAGGCAAATTGTCCTCTCTCTCCCTCTGACAGGGTGCATGCAACTTACGACCCTTGTCATCTCTCTCCCTCTCGCACGCGCGTTCACGGCCTGCGTCCGAAGGGCCGTAAGACGCATGTGTCCTGATGATGAATGTATGCAAGCTAACTTTCCGCTCCGATAAAGGGCCTTGCTCCACTGCTCACCCAATGTGCAAAATGAGAATGAATCTTCGGTAGAACATGGGTAGATACACCACCATATTGTCTAATTTGTCATTTCCGCACGTGGCGAGTACCGGAGCAAGGCCCAAAGTCATTCACGTTGTCCACCCAACCACACCATCTTCCCCACGACACCCTGATCATGAATGCCAACAACGCTATCTTCCCAGTCCAGTTCCGTCGTGATGATGGTGCATTGTGTTTCAGGAGAAAACTGTTCCCCAAGTTTTGTGTGCCATGCTTGCGCACGGCGCTCTGTATCGTTCCATTGTAACGGATCTCGTGGGTTGGCTCTTTTCCGTTTTTCTTCTAAGAAAGATGTGACGATGATACAGCGCTTTCGCGAACCATGAAAAAAACGTGCACTGCATGGCGTCAGTACGTTTCTTTCTTTCTTTTTTACCCAGGGAAATCTTCTGTCTTCTGATCGGTTACCATTCTGAAAGCCCTTGCAGCAAGGTCGGTCGACCATATGCAAAGTTGCAAAACCCCCTTTCGAATGGATGAAGTCCGATGAACCATTTATCATGGGCGCCAATGGGAGGGTACTATACTTCCATCAAGCCTTAAAAAAAAAATCAGAGGCTTACAATGGTTCTCAGCAACTTATCGGCAACTTATCGGCAAGTTGACAGCAACTTATCGGCAAGCTGACGGCAACTTATCGGCAACTTATCGACAAGTTATCGGCAACTTATCGGCAACTTATCGGCAACTG